CCTGTGTCAAGCTGGTAGTAATGCATGTCGAGACGGACGAGAGAGAGACGAGTGGGTTGAACATGGGCTGGTCGGGTGGGTTGAACATGGGCTGGTCGGGTGGGTTGAACATGGGCTGGTCGGGGGCTTGAGAGGGAGGCAAGAGCTAACGAAGTGGGCTGGTAGGATTGGAGCACAGTAGCTTGTAAATGTAGGTGCAAGCAGCTACCATGCGTCGGACAGACAGGCTTTGCAGCATTGCGCCGGGGCCAATCAAGTGACAATCTGGTGCGCCCATCCAGACCAATGGGCAGTACTCCATTACTGGGCATACAAACCCACGGTACACTGTAGCTCGGCTGCGAGAATCCAGGAGCGGAGAGGCCTTCTGCAGGAGCCCGAGACGCTGGTGTGCTCTGATGGCGACCGTACGGATGTGGTTGCGGTGAGAAAGTTGGCTGTCCAAGGTCACCCCAAGAAGCTTGAGGTTACTCTCTCCATTCAGGGGGACACCCGCAAACTGTACTGCTGGTAGGTCCCAGGCGGGGCGGTGATGGTCAATAGTCATGGAGGGACTATTGGCTTGCTCGAACGCAATTCTCCAGCTGGTGCCCCAATTCACAAAGGCATCGAGGGCATTTTGCAGGACTGTCGAGCTGTGGTCAATGGTATCAAGAGTACATAACCCCCCAGAGTGTGCAACGCCAACCCAGCTCTGTGTAGGGTCTTGGTCGAGCGGAATCGGATCTTCTGATGTCATGAGTACACTCCACTCCACACTCCACACTCCACTCCAGCGCAAGGCCGGTCTCGAGGCAGGGCACCATTGTTTTTGATCCGAGAGTACCCGCGACTTCCCGGGTTCCCCAGATGTGTACGGTATTATGACGCAAAGATCCGATTCCGCTCGACCAAGACCCTATGCAGAGCTGGATCAGGCGTTGCACACTCTGGGGGGTTATGTACTCTTGATGGTATCCATGGTGGACAGGCACTGAAACAGCGTTGTGTCATCAGCATAAGCGGCCAGATCTACACCTGGTGGAAGGTGGTCATCGGCATCGTTCATGTAGAGCAGGGACAGCGTCGGTCCGAACAAGCTACCTTGGAGAACTCCGGCTGTGATGCGGTGTGGGCTGGACGACTGCCCACCAACGACGACACTCAGGCGCCTGTCCAGCAGGTAGTCCTTCAACCATGCAAGGAGCATGCCGGATACACCATACTGCTGGGCTTTGTGGATCACACCTGGGTGGGAGACTCGATCGAACGCGCCAGCGATATCTACAGCAACAACTCGCATAGCTCCGCCCCGTCCAGCCACGGTCCTCCAATGATGGTGTAGTAGGGTAAGGAGGTTCTGCGTTCCCAGGCCGGAGCGGAAGCCGTACTGGTTAGCGATGAGGATATGCTGGCGCTCAAGGAATCCCATATGGCTATGATTGATGTCTGGACTGGTTAAAGTCGATTAGGTCATTCCAGTGTTCTTGACTGGTTATGGTGGATTAGGTCATTCCAGTGTTCTTGACTGGTTATGGTGGATTAGGTCATTCCAGTGTTCTTGACTGGTTATGGTGGATTAGGTCATTCCAGTGTTCTTGACTGGTTATGGTGGATTAGGTCATTCCAGTGTTCTTGACTGGTTATGGTGGATTAGGTCATTCCAGTGTTCTTGACTGGTTATGGTGGATTAGGTCATTCCAGTGTTCTTGACTGGTTATGGTGGATTAGGTCATTCCAGTGTTCTTGACTGGTTATGGTGGATTAGGTCATTCCAGTGTTCTTGACTGGTTATGGTGGATTAGGTCATTGTCACGTGGCACGGTCACAATGCTTAGGTTTTGTGCGCACATGCTCATATGCTGCCACGATGTGTCGTCATTTCTTTAGTTCTCAGTTTTTACCTCGTCGCGTCCGTCTCTGTCGTGTCAAGTAATTATATAATAACTTTAGTTCAGTTGCATTGTTGGGTGTGGCGAGTCGGATGGGTGGGAAAGATGGGCCCCTGACACCTGGAAAACACGTGCGGGTGCACACAAGTTAGTGATTATCAACTGAGTTTTTGTTGAATTGCCTGAAAAAATCGAAAATGAGTAGGAGGGCGCCACATTTTCAAGAAAACTCAAGAACGAGTCGCAGCTTTCAGTGAAATATCCCGCCCAAATTGCTCTCAATTAGGTCAAACTCACCCAGCCTCAGAAGAAGTGCATGTGAAGTTTGGTAAGGAAAACTACCTGAATGTAGCCCTCTCAGAAAACTCACGCCAAGACAATTTGACTGTGCACCCCGACAATTTAAGTAGTAAATTTGTGATAATTCATGACCCTTGGAAGCAGTTTTTGATTGGTCCGGGCAAACCCTAGCCTCTAGAACTTTGTGTACAGTCAACTTCGCCAATAACGACTGCGGATATAACAACAATTCGCGAATAATGACAGAATTTCCACGCCCAGAGCAAAGTCCCATCCAACTGTAACACATATAACGGGACTTCGCGGGGCTGGTAACTCGGCCTATTTAGCTCGTAGCTGTACTGATGAGGCCTTTATGGCCGAAACAGCTTGCTGTCTACAGCATTGGGTATCACGCTCCTCGGCTTTCGCCTTGTTGAGCACTCTCAGTAGGCTGCTCTAGTGCTGCTGCAATGCCCGCTACTTTTTGTAGTTTGAGCACTCTGGCGCTAGAGCGACGAGCTACCTTAATGTCTGTGGTGCCTCCTTTGCACCATGGCTGGTAACTCGGCCTATTTAGCTCGTAGCTGTACTGATGAGGCCTTTATGGCCGAAACAGCTTGCTGTCTACAGCATTGGGTAACGGGACTTCGGGTATAACGACACTTGGCAAATAAGGACACTTTTCTGATGCCCCGCCGAGTGTCGTTATAAGCAAATTTCACTGTACATGTACTGGGTGGCTGTTGATGACCTCCTCAGCAGCAAACACATGTTGGTGGTCCAGCCATGGCCTGACCAGCCAGACTGGCTCCGCCGGGCCAGACAATTAGATGTTAGCTTATGATATCAGTTACCTTTGAACATAGCATCAACTAACTCACCTTGGCATTTAACACCATCACCATGGTAACCAGTTTTACACGCGCATGTGAATGATCCAGGGGTGTTTGTGCAGGTTGCTAGTGAGTGACAATTATTCGTACCTAAGCTGGAGCATTCATTGATATCTGAAAACAGGCAGGGAAAGCAAGATGCATAATCGGATCCCTACCAGATTCATACAGCAACGGCCAAACACAACTTGTTCGCCTAGATGGACTTTGCGGCACGGTTCCTGAGCGCAAAACGATCCAAGATTCAGGCTTAAAGTCTACTTAAGCTCAACTAAAGTGAACATTGATAAACTTGGTTAATTGCGTGCCAGTTGTGAAAACTATTTTAGACAAGTGCCCTGATTGGCAGGGTCATGGCACCACGTACACACACAGTTCACATTCCTTGCCCTAGCAGCGCCCTAGCAACGCCCTAGCAACTTACCGGTGCAGGTTTTCCCATCTCCATGGTAACCAGCTTTACATTGACAGGTGTATGAATCAGCTGATGCTGTGCATGTGGCATCGGGATGGCAAGGATAGCGTCCATAGTTACATTGATTTATGGCTGCGGGTGACCAAGAGGCCAAGCGTTACACACACACGCAATGGAGGAAACACAGTGGACAACGCCGTCAGCCACCCTGCGGCAAGCTATCACACCCACACCCCTCGTCCACCTAGCCTCACCTAGCCTCACCTAGCCTCACCTAGCCTCACCTAGCCTCACCCAGTGCAAGACATGTACATGTCCTTTGGATTGGATTTTATTTATAGTGGTGACGATAACAGACAATTGCCTAATAACAATAGACCCACTCGAGGGAAAGATATGAATAATAAATAGACTACCGTATTTCCCCGTTGTAACAGTTTTCCCCTGTTCTCTATAACTTTACACTCCCTCGCACCTCATGCGTCTTACGCCTGTCTATTAGCACCTTCATTGGCGCCATTGCCACATGTATACTATCACATTTTGCATATAACTGGTCGAGGCACGCTCAACCAGGCCTCTTACTTTTCAAGTTTGATTAAACCTGTTACACTGGTAGCAGAGGATGGTTACTACTCTGCTTTTGGCAGGTGTTCTGGTCGCTCTGCTTACGCTCCTCGTACTCGTCGTTCGGCTGATAAACGATATCAAGACCGCTCAGCGCGTTAGCCAAGGAAACCGAACGATACATCCGAACTCGGAACCGTGGGAGCCAACACCTCGCCTTACGAAAGAGCCGCCTGTGTTTGGAGGAGATTCCGCTACATTCAAAGAATGGACGTTTACAATGGACATGGCCCTACGGTCGTTGGCACTCCCAAATGCGGCACAGAGGGTCGACTACGCGGCAGGATTTTTGACTGGAAACGCTCGTCTTTGGTTGATAGCGGCATTGGAAGCTAACCAAGTGTTTTCCGACTGGCCTGCTCTGAAAGCGGCACTTGGCGATGTGTACGGACCACGGCACAACGAGGAAACATCGCGTATGGGACTAATTTCCGCAGCGCAGCGCGGGTCGCTGGACGCATACATTGCTGCTTTCACTCGCCTCAGCCTGCAAGTGCCGGAAATCGACCACCACACCAGAGCGCTGCTGTTCGTCAGGGGTCTTACGCCGCACATCCAGCGACAGGTCATGCGTGAGCATCCACGTACCCTGGAGCAAGCTGTCATGGCAGCAAACACCGTGGAGCAGTCGCCAGGGCCACCGGCGTCGGGGCCACCAGCCAGTAGAGAGTCGCGTTCCGTGCCCAGCTTCCGTGGTCAGGGCCTCCGCAAGCTGACGGACCAAGAGCGTGTCCAACTGCGAGCAATGGGACACTGCTTTGCTTGCAGGAAGCCAGGCCACCTCGCTAAAGACTGTACTGAGGGTGGACAGCGCTACCCAAACGCTGGTCGCCAGTAAGAAAGGGGGTGCGCTTACTGGCGACGACCCAAGCACCCACGCCGGTACCAGTCGCTAACCGGTTCGGAGCTCTGGAGGTTGAAGACGTTGCTCTCCAGGAACCTACGGAGCCGGAGACACCCATAGCTGTAGGAAATTGTCCCGTTGCAGAAAGGTGTCATGTCAGCAACGTCAGCGTCGGCAATGAACCTGAACACGACCTACTGCGCATACAGGGAAAGATCGGCGGTCGCCATGCAGTGATGCTGATAGATTCCGGTTCGACGCATGACTTCATTGCAGACGGTTTTGTTCGAAAGCATCATCTTGACACGGATGCAAGCTCAGAAATGCTGAGCGTAACATTGGCGGACGGCTCGACCAGCGAGGTCCCGCAGATTTCCACACGCACGCTAAAGGTGACAGTCGGGGGCTTCAGTGAGGAACAGCACTTTACTGTGTATCCCCTGACTCGCTACGACGCTATTCTTGGCAAGCCGTGGCTTACAAGGAACAACCCCAGTATCAACTTCCGTACGAACGAAGTTCAGTTGGACGGTGAGCCCTTTGTTGCCAAATTGCCTTCAGCTAACCCGCCGACAGCCGACCGGCCATCTGTGGAAAGCATGTTTATCAGTGGCCGACAAGCTCGTCATGCCCTGAGGAGTGGAGCCGAAGGGTTTCTTGCATGGGTCACTGCTGCAAACGAGGAGAATCGTTCCGGGCCACAACTCCAGGAATCAGAGCAACAGGACATCCAGAACCTGCTCAAGAGGTACCAGGATTTATTTCCAGACGAGCTGCCGAATGAGCTTCCACCGAAGAGACCAATCGACCATGAAATCCAGATAGAAGATGGAACCAGACCACCGTCTCGACCCGCCTACCGCTTGCCGAAACCAGAGATGGACGAGCTCCAGTCACAGCTGTCAGAATTACTTGAGAAGGGATTCATTGAGCCAAGTAAGTCGCCATACGGTGCACCCGTGTTTTTTGTGAAGAAGTCGGATGGTACTCTGAGAATGGTGTGTACATTTAGCACCTACTTCCTCTACTATTGACGCTAAAGGAAGTGCTGATCTGTATATTCAACATGTATTTCGACTTCATGGTTTGAGTTCTAGTATTGTATGTGATCGTGATCCAAGATTTACGGCAGCATTTTTTCAGGAATTGTTTGATCGCTTAGGAACGAAACTAGCATTTAGTACTGCCAATCACCCTCAGACAGATGGCCTAACTGAACGAGTAAACAGAATAGTAGAGGATGTGCTGAGGGCTTTTGTAAATCATAAACAAGATAAATGGGATATGCTCCTACCTCTCTGTGAGTTTTCTATCAACAGCGCTACTCAATCATCTACAGGAAACACACCGTTCTTCTTAAATTACGGTCTAAATCCCAGAGCGCCACCCGACTTCCTCAACCCTATTCAGGGAGGCAGAGATTCAGCTGATTGGTTGCAAGCAAGACAAGACGCGGTCAAGATCTCACAAGATGCGCTAGTGGCAGCTCAAGCTCGTCAGGCCTTCTATGCAGATCGGACAAGGGTCGAGGGAAAGCTGAAGGTGGGAGATTTGGTAATGGTCTACCGGGATTTCCTCCTGACTCCTGAAGCTCGGGACCGACCATCCCATAAATTACGCCCCAAGTGGTTTGGCCCCTTTCCTATAACCCATGTGGTCGGCCCGAATGCCTACAAGCTCAAGTTGCCTCATACCAGCCGCTGTCACCCGGTATTTAATGTGTCGGCACTCCGTGCCTACGAGAAGAACGCTATTCCTAATAGGAGACAGCCTACGCCTCCGCCTATCACGGACCTTGATGGTCATGCCCGCTATGTGGTGGAGAACATTCTCAGTCACCGCCGCCGGCAGAATCAGCTTCAGTACCTAGTCAAGTGGCAAGGCTACTCTGATGCCACTTGGGAGCCTGAACATTATTTGTTGGATGAATCTGGTAATGACATTGTTCCACTTCAGAAGTACAAAACCTTGGCTTCTGCCCGCTGAGTTTTGCAGTTGAACTTCTAGTTTCACCTTACACATTTGTTGAGCTTATTACACTTTTATTTGCATGGAGTTTCAGTCGTCTTATTGTGTTACTTCAGTGCGAAGCCTTTTTTCGTCTCGCACGTGTTTGCGCTTATTGTACTCTATTCCACTTGAGCATTTGGGTTATAAGCTCCTTCCTCTCCATAGGAGGGGGATGATGTAACAGTTTTCCCCTGTTCTCTATAACTTTACACTCCCTCGCACCTCATGCGTCTTACGCCTGTCTATTAGCACCTTCATTGGCGCCATTGCCACATGTATACTATCACATTTTGCATATAACTGGTCGAGGCACGCTCAACCAGGCCTCTTACTTTTCAAGTTTGATTAAACCTGTTACAAGTTAGTTCTCCCCAATGACTTAGTACCCCCTATAAAAAATACACTTTCCACTGCCGAGGTTATCACCCCGAAAGACAGTTCCCGCCGAATGATAGTAAGTTCGTACCCGTCCTACATGTACAGACACCGTACAGTACATACATATACATGTACATCATATGCACAGACACTAGAGTTGCGCAGGCTTCCCACTGCATGCCATTTACCCCCGATAAAAAAGTACTCCCCGAAAGATAGTACCACCCCCGAAAGTTAGTACTCATGTGTCTGCTAAGTTGGAAAGTAAGTACTGTAGCCTGGCCTCAGTGGGCCAGGCAGCAGACAAGGAGAATCATCAGATCAAACTCACAACTAGGTCACAGTTCAGTTGTAGATCAGATGTAGACTCAGAATCAGACTGAATTGGAAGAGGATGAACTGAAGTGTGACAGCCCTACTTATACCTGGCCAGAGTGCTCTCTGTCCAATCAGGAGCTATGCATGTGACTACCATGACTACAGGTGTGGTGCAACTGCACCAACTAGGAATGCAGTGAGTCTTGCATGATGTCAAGTAACAGATGCCTGCTAAAAAAGTATGAAAACAAGATAAAAGATTAAAGCTTTACAACAAGGTGGCTCGAACCTAAACTACACGATCTACTGTTCCCAAACCACTGGCATTCCTCCATACAAGGTACAATGAATGAGGCATGCCCAAATATGCAATATGCACTGTGTTACAGTACGTACTAACTTACGGGGAAATACGGTATTGTCTAGGTGACCATGTTCGCCATAGAACGAATGGTTAAGGCAAACAGACGATGGGCGCCCAACTTTTGCATAAATTTTGCATAGCTGAAAGTCCTCCCTGGGTATAGTATATACAGTAATAGGTAATCGCTGGGCCAGCAGCAAAAAAAATATATTGTAACGAGACTTTTAAACTTCTAACATGACTTGTAGCTGAAGGGACAAGAAGCACTGAATTTAGGCCTGCCCGGATTATGTTTTGCATTTTTTTTGCATTTTGGGTTTTTTTCAGCATTTTTCAACATTTTGAGCACATTTTGCATTTTGAGGTCATTTTCTCATGCATGCAGCTGATCAGCGCGCTTCCTCCACGTGCACTTGGAACGACAAGGGATTCAAGTTGCAAAGGTGCAAGGTGCAAAGAAATCTGAAAGCATTCACCGCTGATTAACACACCTCACCAACTCTGCCTTCCATTCACAGAAGACAATTGACAAGCACTATGGCAAAATTACTACACTATGACTGAGACACATAATCTTCATTCTTACCACTCGGACAGTTTACTCCAAATACGCTGCAGGGAGTACACAACAGTATGCGATCATGAATACCAAGCACAGAGATTGCCGCGTAAAATGCAAGCCTTTCAGAATCACAGCAGCTCCCCTGCCTCGCCTCTCAATACATTGCATTAGAAGCCATGATTCTTGATAGATGGCATTAAGCCATGCAAACAAAAAAACCAAAAACTCCCAGACCTACTCGTATTATGATACTTGGTCTGCGTGCACCTGAGGTGGTTAAACTTGGTACAATGGAAGGTAGTATAGAATGACAACTAGCCAATGGAATTTATTGTCCAAGGAAGGGCTCATACTTTTTTTGGTCCTCCCTGTCGCTGCTCTCGGCGCTGGTGACAAACATGCTTGCTTGGGATCGACTTTCTTGCTTCCGCAAGCTCATATCTCTTCCTCTCCGCTGCCTGGTTATTTTCTAAAGAGGAGTCGATCGTGATGGTTGCCTTCTCTGTAGCCTCCCCAGGACTTTGCGCGGGCAGCACGACTACCTGTGTGGTTCAAATCAGTCGCCATTCTTTGCAAGAATTTATTTTGAACGACCACGCATGGAGTACTTTAAATCTCCACGATATGCTGAATATTCCAATGAATATTCCAAGCATTGAGTTGAATATTCCAAGCATTGAGTTGAATATTCCAAGCATTGAGTTGGAGGTGAGGGAACAGCGATCTCAGGTTGGCGAGCAAACCCGAGGTGAGCGATCCCCGAGGTAAGTATCTCGGCTGCTTTGCAAAAATGGAACTGACACCGAGTACCAGTAGCCGATTTTTTCTTGTGCGTCACGCTGCTCTTTCCTGTGCAGTGTGACAAGATGTTCTACTTTGATGCGGTGTGGTATCAGCCACCCGTCGCTCTCAAAATCCTTGAAATCTAGCTTGACCTTTCAGCCCTACTAAGTAGTAACTAAACTGAATTGCGAACCGGAATTCCGGAATTGGGATGAAAGTGAGCAGTGGCACACCGGAATTGGGATGAAAGTGAGCAGTGGCACACCGGAATTGGGATTAAAGTGAGCAGTGGCAGCATAAAACCAAGCTGAGAGATGAGCGACAATATTGATGATGCGGGGGGGGGGGGGGGACCAAGTAGAGAGTAAAAAATGAGTTTCTTACAATGGCCAGGGGCCAAGAAGAGAGGGAAATAGTGTGAGACTGGATAGATGGCAACATGACGGCAGGTTGAGTTTTATAAGGGAATTAAGTGCAGTAAGGATATGGGTTGGGTGGCAGGATTTAAGTCTAATTTGCTTTTTGAAAAACGTTTCAGATGGCGAGCCAATTAAAATTTAAATTATGGTGAAAAAAGGAGGACAAAAGGTTACGAGTTATGACTAACTGTCCACCAACGTAACCATTTTGTCCTCCGTGTTTTACCATAGTTTTATGAATGGTCGGTGTTATTTTTCCACGCATCTTTTCATAAAACAGTTTTAGATTTCGTCCAAAATATAAGCCTATAAAAACCTTAGGGTGCATTTATAATTTCTCTAGCTTCTCGGAGAAATTTCTCCTGGAAGTCGAAAACTGGATTAACATAGGAACGAGTCTCGAAGAATTCGGAGATCTTTTGCAAATGCGAAGCGCTAAAGGGGCCGCCGCGATCTTGAGTGACATGACTGTAAGTACCCACTACGCGTATGCGAAAAGGCAATGTCACATACACATGACGAGAGAGCTTGGAAGCTCAGGGCCCTACGCTATGCTTTTTTGCCTTGATGGCCCAGGCAAAAAAAAGGATAGGGATGTTATAAATTTTACATTTCTCCTTTTGTTTTCAAGACATAACCTGGGATTTGAACCCGCACAATACCCCTACATGCATACAGTCAGACCTCGCTTATCCGGTCCTCGTTTATCCGGATCCCTCGCCATCCGGAAGAAAATAGTTGGTTACAAATGTACAGCATATGCCATGCTTACATACAGTATGTGTGTTCGATTATCCGGTTCCCTCGCCTATCCGGATATTTTTGTGGAAAACGGATGTGTGCGGTTATGCGAGGTCTGACTGTACCCTGATACACTCCGCATACACACATGTACTCATTCTTCCAAGTTGCTTCACGTTATCATCTTGCATTTGAAAGCCCTATTAGAATATTGTGGCCAGCTGTTTGTGGCCAGCCGTCTTTGATGGTACGGTACGGGACAGGTATGGTCGAGGGTAATACGACACCGTCTACCACCTTGATGACCTAGGCAAAAAGCATAGGGATGTTATAAATTTTTCAATTCTCCTATATTTTTTCAAGGCATAACCTGGGATTCAAACCCGCACAATCGCTCTACATGCATCCCCCGATACACTTCGCATTCATACTCATTCTTCCAAGTTGTTTCACGTTATGATCTTGCATTTGAAAGCCCTACTTGAGTATTGTGGCCAGCTGTTTGTGGCCAGCTGTCTTTGATGGTACGGTACGGTACGAGACAGATACGGAATAGCGCCAGACGGAGGTCCGTCCACCACAAACACCAAATTAAAGCTGTGTGGACACTGGCTAGCACCAGACGTTACCGAAGTAACGTCTTCTGCATAGCTACGGGAGTGTGGCTTGATACACTTGATTAAAGTGTGGCTTGAGCAGAAGTTCGCATGCGTTGACCACAAAACGCGGGAATCTCCAAGTTTCAATCACCTCTAGTGTTCGGAGAGCTTCGAGAACTTTGGAGAGTCTCCTAAAAGAGGATAAAAGAACACTTCTCGAAGTTTTGGGAGAGTCTCGAATTTTTCGGAGAGGATTTTTAAAGAACACACCCTTAGAGCGGGTTCTTTCTCAGAGATACAACGAAAAACAATTTGTTCAAATTTGATCTCCACCTTGCTGATAAACTCAAAATTTCTGTAAAAATGTAGTCAAATTTGCTCCCAAAGTGGTACCGCCCCAGCCAAAATTAAGGAAAGACTCCCAAAGACATAGTCTTCATAAAGGCAGTTGCATAACACTGAGTCCTGCCTACCCTCCAACATGTGCTACAGCCAGTGCTACATGCAAAGCAGCCGCAGTTACGAACTGATTGTTTGCTTACCCCGTTGCCTCGTATGCAGTACAGCTGCCCTCTTTCATCCAGACGCAATCACGATCAACCCGACACGCTGAGCAATTGCTGGCCTTGTGACATTGGTGTACGTCGAGCACGGCAAAGCTTTCCAGTGATTGCACATGCAGAACGGTGTCGGCGGTGATTTTCTGCATGAAATGAAGAGAGTGTTGACATGAACACCACATTCAACATTGAATATCATGACTTTATGATCTTCTGTACCTGTACTAGTCTGAGTGCTGTGAGTGCTGCGAGTGCTGCGAGTGCTGTGGGTGCTGCGGGTGCTACGGGTGCTGCGGGTGCTGCGGGTGCTGCGAGTGCTGCGAGTGCTGCGGGTGCTGCGTGTGCTGCGAGTGCTGCGAGTGCTGCGAGTGCTGCGAGTGCTGTGACACTCACAGCCATATTAGACACCCCTAGCAAACAATACTACAACCAAACCTGTAACTAACGGCAACCATGATGACTAGTCACCAGCCTGCTGCTGCAGACCACTTCATCAGGCACGGCCCGTGACGGTCTCACCTCCAGATATGGTTGTGCGGTGCAAACCTCTACCTATTAAAGAACCACCTGCCACTAAAGACCGTTTTCTCTGGCCCCAACGGGTGGTCGTTAGTCACAGGTTTTACTGCACTAGTATATGCAAGGCTTTATTCAGTGTAAGACTGGTTGGTCAATAAAGACAGTTAACAAAAACAGTTGACTAAGATAATTAATGTAGAAAGGAAAAGGAAATATAGATACGTGTTGAGACCTTTCTACATTTATTATTGGCTAAACATCCGAGTTTCAAAGATAATTTAAAAGAGAAAGGTTTTGCAGAGCGAAATTTCGCATGGTCTGGGCTTGTGAACATTTCTGCGAATTTTGTGTTTTGCATGATATTTGCTCCAAGAATGTACATGTGCACTTGTGTTTGTTTGGAGAAGTGGTCTTCACCTGATAATGTATGTGTTGCGAGTGGCGGAAACCTGAGATGAGAACTCTCTTTCACTGCATTGTCCATGGCAGGGTACCTACAGACAAACGGGTTGGCCTGTGCTGTAATCCGGTGCATCGACACGGCCTGAATTTCAAAATAGGCATTATTGGTGTCACCAAGACGACCAGACAGGAGGTCGGAGATAGTTCCGGAGATAAAGCAACACAGGCTGCAATATGGGAAGCCAGCACTGGAGAACCAAGACAGGGGTAGATTGAGGATTAAGGGTAGCGAAACCTACTGCGAACATTTTTTCATGTTTCCTCCAACTTTCGAGTTCGGAGCTGCAACGATTCGCCCGAAGTTTGGCTTCTTGTAACGTCAAATGAAAATTCGTGCGAAACCTTTTTATTAAAGAATGCTGACAGGTTCCTCGCACCGGCCATAGCCCCATCGGCTAATGGCAGCAGCAACAACGCAATAATTTTACTGCATGGTGGACTGAACAAGCTAATGGCTGCCGGTTTCTACCACCATTCTGCGCCCAGACTTTAATCGATTTTGACTTTACTGTCAGTATAAGGCCATCATTTTTTATAGCTATGTTTCGCGTCGTCCGCACGCATACGTTTTGATTTTTTCCGGAAAAAAATAAAAAATCGAACATGCACAGTGAGTGTACGATCGTGCGAGTCATCAGTGTGGACAGGTTGCATACGGCAAAGCTGGGATTCAGAAATGGCCTCTAGCCTAGGCCAGTGTTGGTAAATCGTTTGTTCGGCATCTGGGAGCAATATTCTATGAGCTTACACCAGACCGCATTGATCGCCTAAGCTGAGAGGATGCGTCGTTCCGGAGCTCTTTGCACCGCTGCTGAAGTCTGAGTACAATATTCCAGCGAAGCATAGGCACCATGACCAACGGTTGCCTCCTCTGTCCAAAGTGAATATTTACTCATGCTGATAACCCAGATGTTGCGCTTCGATGTACGATTTTTCTTTCGAATGTACACCATGCACGAGCTATTGTGCTATGTACAGTGCATACACCTCTGATGAGCCTTTTTTATTACTTTGCAACTTTTTATTTTTTTCCACCTCTCGCATATGATTCTGGAAGTTGAACTGACGCGAAACGTAGATGTAAAAAATGATGGCCTAATATCCCTAAGAAACGCATTGGCCGGTAGAGGCTGAACATATGCCCAAGAACAGAGATTTGCATGCTAGCAAGGCACGAGAACAACAAATCTGGATATTCGCATTCCGCCACGCTAGCAGGCAGTCATGTCAACACACCACAGGCAGCTCTTGTTTGTGGGTCTTTATCAGATGGTTTAAAGAAAAGAAAGGTCTCATTGGATTTATAGCTGATAAAGGACCCGTAATGCAAACCTCGGCTTCATCTTTGTTGTTATTTATACAAAACATCTATATAATTTAATGTAACCAATGCTGTAGGTGAAGGTGTTTCGGCCATAACTGTCTCATCAGAATAGCTACGAGCTAGTCATTTAAGATAGCTCGTCGACCAAGCGTCAGAGCGTTCTAACTACAAAAGGTAGCGGGCAATGTAGAACGCAGTAGCACTAGAGCCGCCTACCAAGAGTGCCCAACAAGACGAATGTCGAGGAGCGTAATATCCAGCGTACTTTAGTATACCCACTGCTGTAGAGAGTAAGCTGTTTTGGCCAGGACATATGCCAGGCCTCTTCTGATATTAATATCTTGATAATGATGTTATCTTCTTGCATGGAGTGGTTTGCTCCGTACTCTGCTGACTGCTAGGCTAGTGTTAGGTATGCGTTAGACCAATGTGTCAGTGCATTTGCATGACCCATACTCAGACCGAGATATAGACGTGATTGTGTTGTAGATTCAGTTCTTGGCAATTGCTTACCTGCGAGCTAAGAGACATCCGCCTGATATTGTTTGTTGGTCGCTCATCCACTGCAACTGGGTTCTATTTCACGTTAATCAACAGGGACAAAGATTATATAAAAAGGAAATGGAATTTTCAACAGTATCCTTGAGGACAAAAGTTCAATCTCAAAATTTCACACACACACACTCGTACTTGTTGCTCACTGCCAAAAACTGGTCACGTGGGTCTCCCCGGGAGAGGGGAGAGAGACTCAAAAGGAATCTTGGAAAGATGACTCAACTCACACACACACACACGCAACCACACACGCACACACACACACACACACACACACACACACACACACACCCTGACATTGTCTTACCCACCCCTGATTACTGGTTGCAAGAGTACATAACCAAGAGTGTGCAACTCCTATCTTGAGCTGCGGTGGAATTTTTTCAGAAGTGTGATGAAGTGGATATGCTTTCCCGTGCTTGTTTTATAAAGTTGGTGAGAGTTCATCAGGTTCAAGACACATCGATCTATTGCCCGTTGTTCTGCTTTGACTACCGTAGCTGTAATTTACAAACGAGAGAGCTTGGAAGCTCAGGGCCCTACGCTATGCTTTTTTGCCTTGATGACCTAGACAAAAAAAGCACAGGGATGTTATAAATTCTTTAAAAAAATCCCTTTTTTTAAAGACATAACCTGGGATTTGAACCCGCACTATCGCGCACCCTGCATGCATCCCCCGATACACTTCGCATACATACTAATTCTTCCAAGTTGCTTCACGTTATGATCTTGCCCTATTTGAATATGCATTGTGGCCAGCCGTCTTTGATGGTACGGTACGGTACGGGATAGGTATGGGACAGGTACGATCGAGGGTAATACGACACTGTCTACCGCCTTGATGACGGCAAAAAAAGCATAGGGATGTTATAAAATTTTCAATACTCCTATTTTTTTTCAGGCATATCCTGGGATTCGAACCCGCACTATCGCCCTACATGCATTCCCCCATACACTTTGCATTCAAGTTGCTTCACGTTATGATCAAGTGACAAGCGCCAAGTACCTGGGCTTGCACATCGATGACGACCTGAAATGGAACACAATGGTTGACCATATAGCCAAGACAGTGTCCTCAAAGATTGCCATTCTCTTCCGCCACAGGCAGTGCTCACCCTACTTGAGATGTATAATTTTACCCACATTCCAATACGCATGCAACAGCTTTTCCTCTTCCCTTTCCTCTGCACAATGTGATCGTCTTGAGATACTTCTCAAGCGAGCTGTGCGTGTTGTCTGCTCTGCTCCCTTCCTGTCTGCAATTGCCCCTCTTTTTGAACGCCTCAGCATTCAACCCCTGCAATCAATGTATTGCCGCAAACTCCTCCTGCTAACCTTTCGTGTAATTCATAATAACTGTAGTGTGCTTCTTCATGACCTCGTTACACCTCTGTCACACACCCGTCGAACGAGGAGCACAGATGTTCCCCTGCTTCTTTTCCCGAGGATCATATCTGCCGCTGCCACACGCAGCCCTTCATATCAATGTCCTGCTCTCTGGAATAAGTTGCCTGCATCTATACGATCACTGAAGAAACCAGGTCATTTCCGGACCGCTCTCTTACCCCACCTGAAAAATTCACCAACTTACGTTGCTCACTGATCAAATAATTATGCAATCTTTCCTCTGCTAGCTAGCTGCTGTCTTAAATCCTACTCTATTTTTCTTTTTTTTCTTTTTTTCTTTTAATCTTTTCCTTACATTTGTGTGCCTGTAACTTTAGTTGATCTCATGTAAGGCCACACGTTTTTATATCTATGTTTCTCGTCACCCGCGCGCATACGATTCAGGAGTCTGGAGGAAAAAAAGAAAAAAATGTGCTGCACTGACTGTACATGTGGGGACCAGCATACTCATGCACATGTACATAATGTGGCCTGGCCTGCGCGACACATGATGCGAGGTCACCAATTATTGTGCGCAATCTAGCTGCACATGCACAGATTGGTGACAGAAGCTCCTACCACATACTAGTTGCTAACTATGGATGCTATTTTGCATGGTGTATTGGTGGATTTTAGTGTGAACTATAAAGGTCTGATAAACTTTTTTTATTTTTCGGTCATTTTTTATTTTTTTCCACCTCTCGCATATGTTTTTAGATTTTCAGGTGACGAGAAACATAGAAATAAAAACGTGTGGCCTAATAAGGCAACACTGCCTGTTTGTTATTCGTCGTTAAATAAACCAATCCAATCCAATGCAATCTTGCGTTTGAAAGCTCTATTTGAATATTGCGACCAGCTGTGTTTGATGGTACGGTATGGTACGGGACAGATACGGGATAGCGCCAGGCGTGACACAAACACACAAACAAACAAACACACAAATACCAAATTAAAGCTGTGTGGACCCTGGCTAGCGCCAGAAGTTACTGAAGTAACGTCTTCTGCATAGCTACGGGAATTATTGGTATCTCTGGCTACAAATGATGGCATCAGTGAGCCAAACCGCCACCAACGACTGATGTCATAAAAAGTCCGCCGTGGGACTGGGGGATCGTCGAGTTGCACACTCTTGGTTATGTACTCTTGCTTGTTGTTATTGGTCATGCCTCGGCAACCAGCCATGTTATGCTCAATCTACATACAGAACTGGAGCTTTTGTGCTTTGTGGACTCATCAGTGAAGCGCAGAGAAATGAGGCTGAAACTGTCAGCGATGAAAAATAAATTGTTCACAGCTGGATTTAAACCAGGTCCGAGCTTAACTTTCCAGAGTTCTCAAACCGACAATTCAGTGACATTGACATTATTTATAGAAAAGAAAAAGGACCAAGGATGTCCAAGTTGCGCTATAATGTCCACTAACACCACCAGTTACTTAACAATCAGTTCACGCGTGACTTGACCATATGGAGGATATATGAGGGATATATGTTCCTTGGTCCTTTTTCTTTTCTATAAATTTAACCTTGGCTCTCCATCCAAGTCCCGGCATTGACACAATATTGAAGTTTTATTTGAAGGATTCTCTCTAGGCAAACCTATGCCTATCAAAGACGGTCTGCAGTGAGGTCTGTGTAGTGCTAACAGCAAAGACAACATACGACATAGCCGCACCGCATGGCCCAGCAGTACAACTCACTGTCTTGCGGGTTTCCAACACCTGAAATACTCCACTGAGGACGGTTTCTTCTCGGGTATTAGCATGTGCGAATGGAGTCTTCAACTTCGTAACACGTCCATGTTCTGTAAGATAAAAACATCCAGTAGTTGCATCAGCAATGGCAGATATACTAGCGTACGCACAGAAGCAACTGGAAAATTCGTTAATCATAAAAAAGTGTACAATGATGATAATTATGATGTTCGATTTGTTGAGAGCCGGCCCACATCCTTTTGTTCCGCATGCCTTCTTGACCGGCTCAACTTCTCCACCAGTCATCTGATTCTCTCTAGTTCACCATGGAAACTGATCGACAGTCAACTCTACCCGTCCTGGATGTGCATCGAATACTGGGGTCAGTGAAACCAATCTCACAGAAAGGTCACCTCAATGGAGCTGCACCGATGTTGGTACAGTCACATGACAGTCAGTGATGGTACAACAGCACAGACAGTTGGTTATGCTTAACGCATCTCAATGAAGGGATATCTAAATACAATGTAGGAGCCCGTGGTCTCTCGTAATGGACACCCTCCTTGTCTGCATCAGCAAGTGCTGTCACAGGAACTGATTACACTGATCAAGAGTTTAGTATTCTTCAGATTATTACGTTAGGCTGCACTTTGCCGCACACTTGTAATCCACCGGGAAAATGTCAGCTGGCTGGATGTACATATTGTCTTGGCTATATACACATGCACCAGAACAGTGATGTGAACAGAACTGGTCCAGTGTGTCGGTTTGGCACTTTTTGTCCGATTTCAGGGAGCTCTACTGTACTCTTAGAGCATGATCAATTGGGCGAATCCCAAGCAAGTGTGCTCCGAGTGAGCATGATCAATTGGGCGAATCCCAAGCAAGTGTGCGCCGAGTGAGCGTGATCCATTGGCCAAATCCGGCCGAATACGGAGTAGGTGGACCGACCACACCAGCTCCCACACCGGGAGTGGCTGGAGTGGAAATGGACTTTGCCGTTTTGGACAGCTTTCACAGAATCTTTGTACGATATGCGTACATTTTGCGTACTACACCCTTGTTTTGTTCGATTGGGCCAGCGTTGCTCGGACCACACCGTCCGCTCGCACTCAATCCAGATTCGCCAATCGATGACACCCTTGGTGACACACCACATATATATATATGAGCCTCTAGATTCGAAAAGGGAGCTTATGTCGTTTCGCGCAGTACTGAGAAAAATGCATTTGAAAGTTGAGTTTTCCGCATAAAGCGATGTATAATTCACTTATTGAAACACCATAACTCTCTGAAAGATGAAGATTTTGGACCTAGGTTTTTTTTAGGTTTTTTACACAGTGATCTGCTTGAGTACAACAATGTCGTGGTGTAGAAAACTCAAAATGTTCAAAAATGACTTTTAATGATAGCTTGCATGCCGTCCTACCGGTAGGACCACGGGTCCTGCCGGTAGGACCCAAGAAATCGCGCTGCAAAAGTGCTTTTGGTTGAGAAATTTCTTGAAACAATTGTTGAGATGAGGTCTTTGTCAGGCAAAGTAATGGCGCAAAATGCAAGACTATGTCCAGTGCATTGCATACGCGCAATTTTATCGATTATCAAAATGGCCGCACATACTCCTGTTGGAGCGCTAGCAACTCTGTCCAAAGTGAATTTTGATCATGGCACATCAATCGTGGTGAGGTACTAATGTTTTTATTAGTCTGCCAAGGCAGTGGGATGCATAATTCCATACACCGTTTCCATGGTTACCATTTGCTGTTACCATGGAATTTCGTACTATGCCTTGTGCGATCACGTCTAAAATTTGTGGACTCCTTCACTAGCCCCTGAGCAACAGTTTAGGGTCAAGTTTTAGGTCAATGTTAGAACAGAGGCCATGCAGCATGTCTGTGTATGGTGGTCCTACCGGTAGGTCCTACCGGTAGGACCGAGGTCTATGCAAGCTATCATTAAGCTTAAAAGCCACCTTTTTGAATCTAAATGCTCATATATGTAGTAGACATCCATGATACTGGCAAGCGACGTCCATTTCCTTTTGGAGAATCATTTTAGCATACAAATGTCGCAGTAATGTAGTTAGTGTGTGTTAGCATCCACCGATCACACTGCCATGTTTGCATCTGCCGCGCACCGCTGCATTGTGCACTGCACTCACACTGCCAGCGCATAGATTCGGGCACGCTTAGCCTGACGTCACACAACTGCTTCCTTTGAACTTTTGCTCACTGCACTCACACTAGTACACTGCCAGCGCATGGATTCGGGCGCGCTTAGCCTGACGTCGTACAACTGCTTCCTTTGAACTTTCTCTTTCTTTCTTGCTGTTGGCTTCACTTCAAAGACTAGTCTAATTAGTGGTGACTTTAGCTTGTGCCAGCACCAAATTTTCGCTTGTGCCAGCACCAAATTTTCAGTTTGGCTTCTAGCTTGTGGTAGCTTTGAGTAACTAATTAGCCAGATGCTTCGATTGTGTTCAGCTCATACTGTTGGTGCCTGAAACAATGTCGTCTATTGTGCATCGGATGCGGGTGGCAGAACTGCGAGCCGAGCTGGACGATCGAGGTCTGCTGACCACCGGAAAGAAATCCATTCTGGTTCAGAGATTGCTGGACGACATGGAGAGAGAAAACCTGGGGCCAACTCAACCTTCAGCAAACGACTCTGCCGAACCCACCGTGGATACATGCGAGGTGCTCGCCGATCCCCCGGTCACCTTGGATCCGACTGGTATTTGCGAACTTATTCGGGCTGAAGTTCGTTCTGCCATCACAGACGAGATTGGAGCCTCTCTTCTGTCGCAGCCAAGTGCGGCACCAGCGCCCCCAGCTGCGTCATCCGACATTGGCATGGGTGCTGCGTGCTCTACACCGCCTCACGCTGGAAATCTGCACGTCCCAAAGTCGGCGCAGGATAGGATATTGCGAGGTGAGTTTGTGGACTTCGACCAATTGTTGCCTGAGATCTTGGGGGCAGTTGATAGCAATAAGTCGTTCGAGCTCAGATCCAGTTCATCCGGGGTGCACTGGAAGTCGTAGAGGTGAACACCACTCGCCCGGTTCGTAGACGTGTGCACGATATCGCCACTTGGTTAGAAGCATGGTCTCTGTGTATGCATGTTGTGATCAGCAATGCACAGCAGAACTCCTGTCATACCAGTGCATGATCTTGGCGGCCAACAGGCAGTATTTTGCAGAGGCTTGGCTTATGTATGACCAGCAATTTCGAAGGCTTGTCGCTTCTCAACCTGGCAAGCGCTTTGATACGATTGACATAAATACATGGCAGCTGTGCATCACAGGCAAGGCCAGGCATAGATGTCAGTCGTGCAGCCTTGTCCACCCAGCGGCTGCAAGCAACATGTGTCTTTTTCGTCCCAAACATGCACACCAAGCTCAAACATCATCATCCTCACTGCTCACCCGCAACAACGCAGGTGCCGTCATCTGCCGAAACTTCAACCTTGGCAAGTGTAGCTGGTCAAATTGCCGGTTCTCCCACATCTGCAACCGCTGTGGCAAGGACCACCCCCGCAGCAAGTGTTCCGGCAAAGGTCAGCGACCAGCCCAGTAGTTCGGGATTGCAATCCCAGCCTGAGCAACCAATAACTGTTGCATGTGTACATAATTTTGTTCCCCCTCACATTAATAATTCCTCTGTACATACCCCTTTGCATGTCTCTCGTTTTGAGCTTCTATTGCGTCATCACCCCGATAAAGAATTTGCTTCCTATGTGCTAAACGGGCTGCGCTACGGCTTTAGCATAGGTTTCACTGCTTCACCCGACGTTTCTGTCCAGTCTGCTAATCTGCCATCTTCTGCTGCTTGTGCCTCCTTTATTTCTGACCAGCTTTATGCTTCTTGCCAGCGTGGCGAAACTGCTGGTCCTTTTAGTGCAGCCCCGTTCACCTCCATGCGCTGTTCTGGTGTCGGCGCGGTACCGAAGAAGAACGGCAAGCTTCGTATGATTCACCATCTTTCTAGCCCCGCCGGTAATAGTGTGAACGACGGAGTTCCAGCTGACCAGTTTTCCCTGCACTACATCAGTATTGACGATGCAATCGAGTCTATTATGTCCTCACCTCAGCCGGTGTACCTCGCAAAGCTGGACATCAAAAGTGCATTCCGGCAAATCCCAGTTCGTGCTGAAGACCACTCACTACTCGGCATATTCTGGCAAGGCAACTACTATTACGAGCGGGTGCTACCGTTTGGGCTTCGCTCCAGCCCAGCCATTTTCGATTCCGTTGCCTCGGCCATAGAGTGGATTATCCAGAACCATTTCTCCATTGCCGACCTATTCCACTACTTGGACGACTTCCTAAACGTCACAACTGGCCATACTGTCGCCCAGCGTCAACTAGCAATCCTGCTGCGAGCCTTCATCTATTTGGGCGTGCCGCTAGCGCCAGCAAAGGTGGAAGGTCCTGCGAGATCACTGACGTTCCTCGGCATTATTCTGGACTGCGAGCGGCTCGAGGCCAGGCTCCCCATGGACAAGCTCAACGACCTTCGATCGCTATTGGCCAGCACGATCAACAGCCGGAAGATATCCCAACGCCAACTCGAGTCCCTATTGGGTAAGCTCTCGTTTGCTGCCCGTGTCATCACTCCAGGCCGTACCTTCATGCGTCGTCTGTGGTCCCTCTGCTCACGGTTTCAGCAACCACACTACTCAATAACTTTGACCCAAGAATGCGTGGATGACCTGCTATGGTGGACGAGGCTACTAAGTGAGTGGAACGGGAAGTCCTTCTTCTTGCACCCTAACTGGACCCCATCACCAGATCTCCAGCTATACACAGATGCAAGTGGCACTCACGGCTGGGGTGCTTACAACAACGGGAAGTGGATTCAAGGTTCATGGAACAGTGCCCAGATGCTGCAGTCTATCGAGTGGAAGGAGCTGTTTGCCCTCGTAGCAGCCTGCGCCACATGGGGCGACGAATGGGCTAAGCTCCGGATTCGGGTACACTGCGACAACTCGGCGGTAGTGGACTGCATCCGTTCGGGCACGTGCAAAGCCCCAGCTGTGATGAAGTTGCTACGCGAACTGTTCTTCGTTTGCTATGAGTTCAACTTTCATGTTAGCGCTGTGCACATTGCTGGCTCCAAGAATGTCATTGCAGATTGCCTTTCTCGTTTTCTTATGCAGGAATTTCGACGTCATGCTCCGTTAGCGTGGCCGAGTCCAGACCGTGCTCGTCTTCCAGCAGTCTTGTGAGCGAAGTTACTAAGTACGCTGCCTGTGCAATTGCTCCTAATACCAGACGCACCTACTCTGCCGGTGAGCGTCGTTTTGTCAGTTTCTGCTCCCTTTGCAATCTGCAACCTTACCCAGCTTCTGATCTTACCCTCAGCTGCTTTTGCGCTTTTCTTGCTCGCTCTGTCCGCCCTTGCACGATATCTGTTTATTTGCAAGCTGTACGAGGTGAATAGCAATTTCTGGACATGAAAATAAAATAGAAGCCCACTGGCTGTGTGTTTTACATTTTTCATATCTTTTTGTATCTATTGTATGGCCTAATCCTTCATCTTTCCAAATATGTGACAATTGCTCATGCTGTGATCCCAGAGACTTTCTAGCAGGATGTTTTCGACAGGCCAATTTTTTGGCCTAAATTTCAGTGTATGGAATTCTGGACATGAAAGTAAAATAGCGTCAATAGGCATCCTATACTGCACCATTTTTGTTATTTTTTCTATTGGTGGACTGCAGTTGGCCTCTCCACACTTCCAGCCAGCAGGTCCAAGACTATACAGCGTCTGAAGTGGAGTGCACATGGGGAAGCCAACGATTCGTCCATTACTTCTTATTTTACTCAAAATTCAAAATTCTCTTGCGACATAGTACCACAAAACTCGTTGAAATGCCTCCCAAGAAAAGACTATCAACAAGGCACCGACACGAGGAGAAACTACAACAGCCCAGCTGTCAACTACAACAAGAAAAAACTTCATCAACCTGACTGACTTGACTCTACACGCGACGAAAAATTATTTTACTCGAAATGTCCAGAAATGTACAATGTCCAGAAATAGCAATTCACCTCGTACGGAATGCACACATTGAACAGGGTCTAGAGGATCCCCTGATCGAGACCTGGCTTCTCAAGAGAGTGTTGAAGGGTGTTCAACGGTGCCATGGGACCGAGACAGTAAAGCCTAGATTGCCCATAACTATGCCAACTCTAAGGAAATTAGTCGATGCCTGTGATCACCTCCCCGTGTTGCCCGAGCATGACCGAGTTCTCTTCAAGTCTGCTGTGCTGTTGGCATTCTTTGGTTTCCTAAGGTGCTCCGAATTTACAGAGGGCCTTACAAGAGAGTGTATCAGATTTGAGTCGGGCAGCATGACCATCCTGCTAAAGAGATCAAAGACAGATCAATTTGGAAAGGGAGTCCATATTGTCATTGGACCGGCCGGTCGCCCTTACTGCCCTGTGTATGCTATGCTACGCTACCTGGCGATGATTGGCAGTCGAAACGCATCCACTCCTCTGTATGTACTTGCCAGAGCTGTTTTCACCAGTACTGTGCGCTTGCTGCTTGAAAAGGCTGCGGTGCCAAACATCGAACTCTACTCGGGGCACTCATTCCGAATTGGCGCAGCTACTACCGCTGCCATGGCAGGGATACCCGATTCGCTGATTCGTTCTGCCGGCAGGTGGCAGAGCGATGTGTGTCTACGCTATATGCGAATTCCAATGGAGACCAAGTCCAAGATCTCGGCTCAGCTTGCCTCAGTGAGTGACCTTATCTGATTCTTTGCACGGACAGTTTATGTTCCATCCCTGAAGTCCTAGCATAGGAATGTCACTGCTCGATAATTTCTTAATGCTGGGGGGGGGGGGTTGTTCGGGGATAGTGTTGCTGCTTTGTGGGGCTCTATCGCTCCTAACTGGTCACTTGCTTCGCTAGTTGCGGCTCTTCACGAGCCAGTTGTTGCCAATTGCATTGGCTTTGCCTTGCAACCCCATTGTGGCACAATGTGGGTTTATTGCGGCTCCTCGCAAGCCAGTTGCTGCCAGTGGCCTGGCATTGCTTTCCAGCTCTTCGAGCTTTTGCATTACCAGACCAGTTACTCGAAGCAGCACACTATCTCCAAAACAATTCCTTGTTGCCTTGGGCTGAGTATGAGTGTGTGAGGGATATGGTGCTAATGTCGCAGTAATGTAGTTAGTGTGTGTTAGCATCCACCGATCACACTGCCATGTTTGCATCTGCCGCGCACCGCTGCATTGTGCACTGCACTCACACTGCCAGCGCATAGATTCGGGCGCGCTTAGCCTGACGTCGTACAACTGCTTCCTTTGAACTTTCTCTTTCTTTCTTGCTGTTGGCTTCACTTCAAAGACTAGTCTAATTAGTGGTGACTTTTAGCTTGTGCCAGCACCAAATTTTCACCCTCCATCCCTCCCATTTTATCCTCTTGCTAATGGTACTATGGAACATTTAGCTCTATCGCTCCTAACTGGTCACTTGCTTCGCTAGTTGCGGCTCTTCACAAGCCAGTTGTTGCCAATTGCATTGGCTTTGCCTTGCAACCCCATTGTGGCACAATGTGGGTTTATTGCGGCTCCTCGCGAGCCAGTTGCTGCCAGTGGCCTGGCATTGCTTTCCAGCTCTTCGAGCTTTTGCATTACAAGACCAGTTACTCGAAGCAGCACACTATCTCCAAAATAATTCCTTGTTGCCTTGGGCTGAGTATGAGTGTGTGAGGGATATGGTGCTAACAAACAAAATATCATCGAAACCTAATCTGTACGTGTGAACCGGAAACAGAAGCAGATAAAACACGAGGTAATGCCTCGGCTGGCTCCCAGGTTGCGGTTATGCACTGCAGGTAATGTGCCATGACAGACTCCATATGCAGAGTTGCTTACCCACCCTACCATCTACTCAAGACACTTGTTCAACTTGCAGTGAGTATGATGCAGATATGAATTCTGAATTGCTTTCCTTTAGGCTACTTACGATCGCCTAAGAAGACTGTTCCGCACCAATCGCTGTATCCGGCTGCCACACTGTTAAAACTGTAAGCACACAAAACCAGTTTGGACAGTGGCTGAAGTCAACACCATGAACCATAATAGGTGTATTTATGCTACGACCTGTACAATGTCATACTCACTATTCGTATTTCCCGCTCGTTCCCCTTGGCAATGAGAGCCACTCACATAGAAAAGCGCATGCTCCAGTACTTCTAGTCTAGTCTTGAGTTGTCGTTGTCCTGTTCTCCTTTCCATTCTTGTCTACACTCTTGTCCAAATACTTTCATAATTCAATACTATAAAACCCATGTGTTCTGGTGTGAGGGGACTTCATTAGCCGGGAGCTAACACAGGTGGCAGCGGAAAACGTCCACGTCTACATCGCTGGCGGAGTGTCTACGCCTTCGGAGATCGTCTGCTACGGAGGCCCACGCAAGAGAACTACCATATCCTCATCCACTCTCTTCGTCGATATTTTCCTTTCTGCGTTGTGTTTCTTTCTGCTCGTCGTTTTCTTGTTGCATGCATTGTTTACAGTCCATAGGTCACGCATTGGCGCCAACCTGTCTGGCCAAACATTTTCAGACCATTTTCTGTGTCCGTGTCTTGTGCATGATTGCGGCATACTGACTGCTGACAGTGCTGTCTGTTGTTAGGATAACTGCTAGCTGGGTAGTAAAGTCTAGCTACTATACACTGTACTGTGTCCGTAGTCGTAGACTAGTTGCCCATTTGGAATTGTCTCTGCCAAATTTAGTTCACGGTTTGCCGCTGCGCACGATAGATTACGTAATAGATTTACTGTAGATCGATAGTTGATCGAGGCGCGTTGCGTCGATAGAGTCCACGGGAAATTTTTGCAGATTATTATTATTTTTTAATTCAAAAATACAAACACAATTTTTTTCACAATGAGCCGTTCAGCGAAATCCAAGAGACAAGAAAAGCTAGAGCGTAGCTTCGCTGAAGCTGGCTGTGACATGAGCATTGCTGAAGATCGCGAGAGTTCGCCGGCACAAGGGTTGTCCCATCGTTTTCGCTTGCCGGACACAGACACACCACATGTACGTCCACTGCCGAAACCAGTCTTGCTTCCTGAGACATTCGGAAATCAGCCAGGCCAAGATTTCACCACGTACATCAGGCATTTCGTCCACACATGCAAGCTGAGTGGGTACGACGACGACCAAAAGCTACGTCTACTACCTGCTCGCCTTGTTCGTACAGCTCATGCGATGTTCACCGAAATCCTAACTCACACGCCTGACATAAACTTTTCCGACACAGTCGAGGCTCTGCTCACAACCCCGCCCAGCCTTGCAAACTGGGAATGGTGGATTAAGAACCCGGTTCAACTCTCGAGCAAGCGCTCTCCACTCAAGGTGTTCACAGCAACTGATAAGAACTCATATGGGGAAATTATAGAAAAGAAATAATAAGATAAAGAGAATTCATTTCAACACACCTCAATAAACGGAGTCCCACACACCGTACCTCAGAAAAGTTGATCTTCCGACCAGTGTTTTTGTTGACGCCGCAGCCAGATGATAGCTGCTTCGCAGAGACGTCTTACTGCACAAATTACAAATAAATTTTATTCTTCGATTAGAAAACCCAAGCGCTTTCAGAGCCCTCCGAAGAGAGTGCGGGATGAAACCATGCACACCTACCTCAACCGAAAAAGAAACAACCTGCACCCGTTTGCTCGGCATGGATCGGCCAGATCTGCATACCGCCTGTCCTTCCGCGAGTTACTGACACTGAATCTGTCCTCAGCACAAACTGTCAACTCCATCCAGAATACAATCCTCCGACTTGTAGAGTACAGAACTATATCTGGTCTTAGTGATAGCTTGCATACCGTCCTACCGGTAGAACCACGGGTCCTACCGGTAGGACCCAAGAAATCGAGCTGCAAAAGTGCTTTTGGTTGAGAATTTTTTTGAAACAATTGTTGAGATGAGGTCTTTGTCAGGCAAAGTAATGGCGCAAAATGCAAGGCTATGTCCAGTGCATTGCGTATGCGCAATTTTATCGATTGTCAAAATGGCCGCACATAATCCTGTCGGTGCGCTAGCAACTCTGTCCAAAGTGAATTTTGACCATGGCACATCAATTGTGGTGAGGCCCTAATTTTTTTATTAGCTTGCCAAGGCCGTGGAATGCATAATTCCATACTCCGTTTCCATGGTTACCATGGGTTGTTACCATGGAATTTCGTAGTATGCCTTGTGCGATCACGTCTAAAATTTGTGAACTCCTTCATTAGAGGGTTGTACTTCCTCCGTTAACAAAAACTTCGTGATGGATTTTGATGGATATGAAAACGCTTAGAACAGGTCAAGAACAGTTTGTATCGACTGCAAATCACTGGACGAAGGTGATTCAGCCTATGTACAGCGTCTTTACAAGAGAAACCGTTGGCGGAATGAGCAGAGAGTTCAGTTTGCGTCGCTTTCGCTCGATTCATTTTTGACCTGCGTCGCTGTCGTCATCTGCTGCACGCGAGTCGTCATCTGCTGTGCGCGAGTCGTCATCTCTCTAGAGTCGTTGTTCAGCTCCTTTCAGCCTTGCCTCGGCTTCTTTGATCACACTCCGCTGACCTTGATGTCGCCGTCGTTCAGGTAAGTTGGCTTTCAAGCTACGTGATCCGCCGTGATGGCGATTACTCGTTTCCACCCGGGAGTCGTGAAAAATATTTTACGACCCCCTGGTTTCATCATCGCTCTCCAGAACTCCGCGATACGAGGAGTAAAGGCACAGCCAAACTGATTCCATTTTCGCTAATGGATACCAGCACTGAACGGCAGCGGCTAGCAAGTCCAGTCGACTTTCCTTAGCCACGAGACTCGCATCGGACTGCAGACTTCTGAAAGAATGCATGGTCAGCATTCGAATCTGGACTTTGCGCAGGTTGAACAAGAACTTGAGTTCAGAATTATTTTCATTGAGCCGTGCGATCGGAGCAGCTCCCTGTTCACTCGCTCATTGTGTGGGCTCGCTGCTCCGTTTTATCGCTCTCTATCACTCTCCAACTTACTCAGCGCAAAAGTGGTAGAGAGGCCAAGCAGCGCAATATCCCCTCGGAGAAGTGGTATTTCAGTTTCGCTCGCCATGACTGTCATCACCTATGTTTCCACAGCGCAACCATCGATTCCGCTCGGCTTGTTGTGAAAGGTCGCTTTCCTTGCATTGTACCTCTGTCATGGCATGTCAGGGAAGGCCAAGAAAGTGATTGCGACTCATTTCACGGCAGTTTGTGCCCAAATCAGCCCCTCAAAATTCCATCACGAAGTTTTTGTTAACGGAGGAAGTAAGTGCAACACAGCTAGGGAAAGAAATCTTTGCACTAACTGAGTTGACAAGAAGTCACAGTCTGAGGCCGTTGACAGAAGATCATTCGTAACCAACTTTTGTCTGGGCTGAACGCGAACTGGCTTCCCTCCCGCCTTGCAAAACGAGATGAAGTCAAGCTCATTTGAATTTTCGGTTCGTCCGGTGTTTGCAGCATCGCGGATTCGAATCTCCTCACGCATGTTCCTGACGATGACCCCGAGTACTTTGTCGTGCCTTGAGGTGTAATGTCCCTGGTCCAGCGCTACGCGACAAGCGCCAAGCACATGGTACGTAGTACAGGCCCAGGCACGGCACAAACTACAGTACGGATCCACTACCGTGTTTCCCCAACGCGTAGGTTCATCGGAGAAGGTAGCACGTCGAGGGTTGACGCAAGAAGAAATTTCAAATCCTTACCAGCACCACCGTACAAAAGGGATTTCCACGAGAGGTCCTGGTACATCTCCAACCACTTGCCTTGCACCTGAAGAGTCTTCAGCCTCAACATCTTCTCCTGCTCGTTGATCTCCTCAAAGGTTTGAAAGAGATCCTTCCTCGAGGGTTTGGAGAGAGAGAGAGAGAGAGAGAGAGAGAGAGAGAGAGAGAGAGAGAGAGAGAGAGAGAGAGAGAGAGAGAGAGAGAGGAAGAGATAGAGATAGATAGATAGATAGATAGATAGAGAGAGAGAGGGAGAAAGAGAGAGGGGGAAGAGAAAGATAAAGTAATGCAATAGTGCTAGCTTTAGAATATTATAGTGTTTCTTGTATTAGTTTTAGATCTAATAATGTTCACCTTATGGTATCATATTCATCTTTCCTTTGTTGTCCGACAATCATTGTGATGACAATCATTGTGATGACAATTTGTGATGATTATCACATGAAACCGATGTTCAAATTTTAACATATTGTCCAATTGTTCTCGTGGTATGAGTGCCCTCATTTTACTTTCGTCCGTAATAGGCTTCTTGTCTCCACGCCGACTTTTTATCTTTTGTTCTCATATAAATATTTGGTGGGTGTGAAGAAGGGAGTCGTCACTGTCACAATCATGAAATAGTAATGGCTTATCGGCCATGTTGTCCTGTGCTCGTACTCTGTTCATAATAGACATGGTTAGCATTTTACCGTTCACACTAGTTTCGACGGTCGGCCTGCACCGTTTTTTGTGTGTGTAGACATGGCATTTACCGTTCACGCGCTAGATCCAACGGTACTCATACCCCCCCCCCCTCCCCCCCCCCCACACACACCCAAAATACGGTCGGTTTGGTACCGTTTTGACGATAGAAAGCTCTGTTTAGCGGGAGAAGGAAACGGTAAGATTCCAACTAGGGTTACGTCACAAGTCTATCGCTGCGTCAGGAGTGAGGACTCAGAAGCCGACCTGCTAACCATGTCTCGAAACACAAGACTCGCCCTCTACATGCCGACCGTCGAAAATAGCGTGAACGGTTAAATGCTAACCATGTCTAATGGCCATGGCTGCATGATGTTTAGTGAAAACTTTGACTACCTGCACAGTTTTTAAGTGAACATACAGTGGTAAAGGCATCCCTACCTTGAATCAAATGAGGCCAATGCATCACCATTGAGCGTTGATAATGTGCTCTAAAGCGTAGGTATACGAAAAGAGGCAAAAGAACAATTATTATCAACAAATGTGTTCATTGCTACATTAATTTCCATGCTACTAAGCACCATAGGAAGTTGTGGAGCTGACCCGCTCTATCTGCTTCACTCGGCAACAACATCAAACTCGTTTCTCAATTCTGACAACGTTTCAGCAAATTGCCCTCATCAGGTATGCAATGGTATACAAGTGTTGTACATGTGGGACGACACAAGCTTGCAAAGGAGTTGTTATAATAATATTATGTTGTGCGACATCGTACCCACCATGACATGCTGTAACCATCTGCCATAACTAGCTGAGGCACCCGGGTCACTGCAAGATAGGGTATTAATAATGTTTACCGGCAATTATGCTGCTTTCCAGAGGGTTCTGGCTTATAAGCTGCTGGAATGAAAGAGGGATGCAACAGTAGTCACCTCCAGCATTCCCAGCCTAAGCCGCAGGGCAATTCTCTAGTTTGTTTTGCATTTTCTTAAAGTGGGGATATCACACCTTCTCATTGGGCAGATCTGCCCGTTTGGTTTGCGAAATAAAATAAACACAACAAGACCGGGGAAATATGATGCCAATGTCCGTAGATGACCAGCACAATGAACTATACACACTATCTGCAAAACTGTGACAACTTACCAAGTCCGGTGTGTGAGCAACACATAGTACTGAGCTCCCCCTGTTGCCTCTGTGTTATTTCAAGAAGATAAAACAATTGCAGGGCAACAAGACGGCAAAGCGCCTATGGTTACACAAGGTCCCTGCATGTTGTCAAAGAAAGCTTGATTCGAAACAGTCATTACAAAATAATTATCTGATGTGCTTCAATGCATCTACCAGTCACTAGTCCTCAAACGGTGGCAAAATATCCTGTACATCAGCATTACACCCTAGCTTTCTGTTGCTTGTCGCTATCAATGTCGCTTTTTTATCTGCATAGTGTGCACTGCCATTGCTCCGTTTTGGCTTGCTGCTTGCTTCAAGCATATCTGCAGTATAATGTACGGTGACTGCCTGCCGGCCTTGCCTCGTTGATTGTGCCATGCCAAGTTCATTCTCCTTCAAACCACAATCAAGATACCTTGATGACTTGCTACTTTTTGTGCATACTTACATGATTCCTGGTGTGGAAAAAGTAGCAAATATTGCATGGTCACTCTTTGATCCGTGCTTGAAAGTTATGGCTGGTATATACCCTGCTGCAGCTAAATACAAAACAAACCAAACAAAACAAACTATAGCATACAAAGGCTGAGATAACGGCTCCTGAAAAGAAATGACGTTTGGACCCACCGTTTGCAGTAGAAAACAACGACGTAATACACATGTACGTAACAAATGCTCCCCATAAACCACAAGTACCATACTGACGCGATTAGTGCCCCTGGGGCACTATTTTTTTCAATATCCTTTACAGATGGGGCACTGTTCAAGAGAGGGTGCTATCCAAGATAGGGCACTATTTTTCAATGCTCGGGTATTTTCCTCAAGCCTCTGAATGTGCTGATTCAGGAATGCCTCAACCTCGCCACCAACAAGTCGATCTGCCAGCCGCCTGCATAAATGCCAACACTGAGTGCAGCCAGTTTGCCGACGACACTGCCATCATTGCCGCTCACGAGAAATTTCTAGCCGCAGAAGAGCACCTCCAGTCAGCTGTGACAACCGCGGCACAGTGGCTGAATGATTGGCATCTCCTGGTCAACGAAAGTAAGACCACTGTCATCCACTTTCACCACACCAACCGGCCACCTCCCAGACCACCATCAATCACACTCAACGATACCAACCTCACTGTGGCCTCAAGGCATCGCCACCTTGGCCTCCTCATACAGCAGAATCTATGCTGGAACTCACATGTAGACTACATCATCACTAAAGCGACCAGGAAGGTGTTCCTTCTCCTGCGACTACGCAATTCCTTAAACACTTCTGCTCTTTCCTCCATCTATCTAACCTACATCCACCCTGTTCTTGAGTATGCTTGCACTGTCCTCTCACCCCTCCCCGCAACCCTGAGCACATCCAACGGCTCGCCGCTCGCCTCTGTTTGCAGCTCCCCCTCTTTGAGCACAGAACCCACTCCGTGCTGCTGCACCAGCTCAAATGGCCATCACTCAGCAGCCGCTGTACCCTCTCCCATATCCTTCTTGCACATAGCCTGCATCATAGATATGCACCACCACACCTTCTTGCAATTCACCTACCCCGAATACAACCCATTCGCACGCTCAGGTTCCCCGAACCTTTGAGCTACCCACAACACGTACAAACCGGCTAAGGGATTCCCCCATCTATGCTTCTCTTGATCTCTTTAATAGGATTCCACTCAGCCTCCGGCAAATCAACCCCAGACGAGATTTCAAAGCAACCATCCTACCACTTGTCATCTCTTCCATATGTACTTGCTCACATTGCTCAGCACATCTATAGCTCCATTGCGCCCAGCCTGTGTGATAAACTCCCTATTGCCATCGCTACTGCCTGAGCAAGCAGCTAAACTTTGATCTCTCTGTATCTGATCCCCGTGCCTGTAATTATTTTTCTCTTATTGGCCACAGGCCATCGTGAGAATAAAAGATTTCAAACAAGCAACTCTTGTTAACGATCATTGACAGATGCATGACCCCGTATGGTTTGTCTATGCAGGCTATATGCGACCTGTTCATATTATTATTATTATTATTATTATTATTATTATTATTATTACGAAGTAGTGGTTGCGACTTCGGCGATTATTTGTAAGAAAGGGTTTGCTCCCCACACTGGAGCTCGCGCTATTCCGCCGACTTTACTTGACACTGGACTGACTCACGACTGCCATCCAGAGCACACGAGACGTCCATCGAACCTTCGACTCGGCAAACCTGCAAGAAAGCACCACTCCCTGCTCAATACACAGTGTTTCGGGGAATTCACCCCTCATCAGTTGAGCTTGAGTAGGCTGAGGAAGATTGTGCCTGAAGAGCACCACTTATATAGTGCTGCCTAGGCACAAACATCACCAGGGATACAAACTTACAGAGACGCTCCATTTCCAGCGCGACAAACACCTCGTGAACACCAGATAGCAGCGTGAGTCAGTGTCGCTCCTGGACGGTGAGACCAGACGTTGAGGACCCTCGGTCATTCGCAACGCTGTCACCTCCAAACCAACTAGTCGCAAGCCCGCGCTGGGCACAACAGTACGAAGTAGTGGTTGCGACTTCGGCGATTATTTGTAAGAAAGGGTTTGCTCCCCACACTGGAGCTCGCGCTATTCCGCCGACTTTACTTGACACTGGACTGACTCACGACATTATTATTATTATTATTATTATTATTATTATTTTAACTGGTTTGAGGGAAAGAGACAAACGGGAAAAGTCTGAAGAAAAAATTGACTGTCACCACCAGTTATTATTATTATTATTATTATTATTATTATTATTATTATTATTATGACAAAAATTGACTGTCACCACCAGTTATTATTATTATTATTATTATTATTATTATTATGACGACTTTATTCACTCCCAAAGCAGAAAAAGAAAGCTTGAAAGGAGGCATGAAGCACAGCACCGGGATCCATATGACCCAAGGGTGAAGCACCAATCAATGAAGATAAAAGAAAATCCTGAACCAAATTTTGATAAACTTCATGAGAGAAAAATTCAAGTATACCAACTTCGATACTCACATAAAATCACAGTCATGTATAACAGAACTACTCAAGTAGTAAACACCAAGCATGCTGCACATGGGACACTCCAAGCAAGACAAACTCAGACGAGATAAAACGGCATATGCAGAGAAAGACAATACATGACTGGGGGCATATGGCAGAAATTCACGCCTCTCGGCTCGTCACACAGCACATGATGCACCACAATCATAAAACACACAGACTGAGACACATCGAGACATTACGGGCAGGCTAACATAAGGTCAACCGACCGTTCCGACCATGCCACTCTCCCATCCATGACCAGTCACCGACCGCACAATTCTCAGGGTGCCCAGAATAGCACATTGCTGCAACCGCTGGATCACGGACGCGTGGAGCCCAATGCTTAAGATGTGGCTGCGGCTCGTTCCTGACACACCACCCAGAGCACCAATGATAACTGGAACAATAGTTATCTTTTTGTTCCAGATCCTCCTCAGCTCTGCTTATTATTATTATTATTATTATTATTATTATTATATTCTCGTCATCCAGCATAAAACAAATAAAAACACAGAACCTGAACTGTACTGTAGACTATCACAACTTAACAGAAACGGCAACAGAAACAGCGATTTTTCCTGAAACCGTCAGTGCAATGACATGGCCAAGAACATTATCAAAAGAAAACCAACTGGGTTTGCACATACGCATAGAGTAGCGATGTCACAGAACACTGTGTCAAATTGCTACCACTCTGCGTCTTTCTATCCCCTTTCCTTTTCTTTTTCCTTTTTCTTCGGTTTCTTCTTCAGTAAGCCATTGATGGAGACTTCCCCAATTCAGGCCAAAGCCTGTCGAGAATCCTTAATGCAAATACAATTGCAAATCAAGGGAGGCTCTGTCAACAGCTTAGAAAGAGGCAGAAGGCAAAGGGATAGTAAAAGAAAAAGAAAAGACGAGGGACGGCAGCAGTCTAACACAGAGATCTATAACAGCACTACTTGATGTGCAATGAATCGACAGGGATTTCCCCCTACAAGTATAAAAAGCCTTTAAAAACAATTGTGTATCATGGCCGCAGTCCGTCGCTGGATTCCTAGCTCGGTCAGGTCATGTTTCAATGCCAGTAGCCCATCAGTCACTTTCATGCGAACTGCTGCTCTACCTGGCTTACCGGTACATCTTGCTCATGATCGCTGATATTGGACGAACAGCGGATAACATACATTTTTAGCCTTTTCATTTCAAAAGTATCTATTTTAAATTACTTTTTTTTGATTTCAGAATTCATCGCTCTCAAGCCTTATGAACGTCTTGGAGCGCTCTGGCAGTCATTTGGTTAAACAGAACCCATTCATGCAACCCACAGTCAACTGGGAACTTGTGGCCAGGCACAAGGGGTACATGGATGCAGCTAATGGGGTTTCTTGGCACTTGTGCCAGTGGTTGTGAGACTTATCCACTCACCCTCACCTTTAGGCGCTGCATCTGCCGCTAGGGTTTACCGGGTGTTAGCGGCCGTCGTGAGTTCCCTTCGAGAACGGACACAGTATTTAACTTATTCATGCCAGTTTACGTATGCAAGTACAATAATTATGGCTTAACTTACTAGCTGTGTGGAACGTGTGCTTATTTCCACGATAAGTTGCGCTACAACTCAGGGGTATGAGTACAGCGTTGTCAAACGCATTGCTGGCCTGCTGCAGGTCAGAGAAGGGAAAATTAGATGCAAAAGAAGTGCAAAAACGGTATCAGTATCTTGCGAAGCGGGACTCACAGCAGCATTTTTGGGGTACGATACGCTATGCAACAGCCACGAAAGCAGGAAGTCCCCATATCGCACGGTATCATTTGGACCTCTCCAACAAGCTAAACAAATGCAAGATTGCCGTACAACCGACAATGGTATTTTGCCAAGTTGCATCCCAAAATGTGAAAACCCACAAACTTCAAATCACAGGACTCGATTATTTTGTGCTTTCCCATCACAATGAATCTCCGGACCACACAGTAATACATAGTGTAAACAAGGATATCAAGGGGTGCTACTATCGCACTAGATCAGCCTGCTACTCAAGTAACAGCAATACATGACTCTGAAGCCTTAAATGCAAATACTTCAAAAATAATAATGTTGAACAAATCGCTGATCATTGGACAGTAGAAATGGAATTGCAGGTAGTACAGTAGAATAGCAATTACTATTATACTTATTTATTAAATTGTGGGACATGTGCATGCTAACTAAACCAGTGAGCAGTCGAAGCATTCGGCCCTGTACCGATTTTACACTAACCACTACATTCGGCCCTGTACCGATTTTACATTAACCACTACATTCGGCCCTGTACCGATTTTACATTAACCACTACATTCGGCCCTGTACCGATTTTACATTAACCACTACATTCGGCCCTGTACCGATTTTACATTAACCACCACATTCGGCCCTGTACCGATTTTACATTAACCACTACATTCGGCCCTGTACCGATTTTTCATTAACCACTACATTTGGCCCTGTACCGATTTTATATTAACCACTACATTCGACCCTGTACCGATTTTACCTTAACCACTACATTCGACCCTGTACCGATTTTACATTAACCACTACATTCGGCCCTGTACCGATTTTACATTAACCACTACATTCGGCCCTGTACCGATTTTACATTAACCACCACATTCGGCCCTGTACCGATTTTACATTAACCACCACATTCGGCCCTGTACCAATTTTACATTAACCACCACATCCGGCCCTGTACCGATTTTACATTAACCACTGCATTCGGCCCTGTACCGATTTTACATTAACCACTGCATTCGGCCCTGTACCGATTTTACATTAACCACTAGACCATGACTACACTCTACAACCCTGAGCACACTCCAGTTTAGTTTTTCACTGTAGTTTGCAATTCCGTTCTTTTGCTTAGCTCTTAACTTCGCGCCCAGTCAGGCACGTGCATTATACTCACCATAATATACAGCTGTACAAAGGAATTCAGTATCAACGGATGTGTTGTTTTGCTGGTGGTGTGCTGTGGCAACGTTGTGTCCCGGTCGGCTGGAGAGCGCAGTGTTGGTATGATGGTTGATGAAAAAGGAATACACGTGGTTTAGATTGTTGTGTACTCATTCCCTTATCCTAACATACTCCTCTTCCCAACACGTTAGAGACAGCCCCGTGCCCCGAGGGGTGTGGATAATCGGCACTCGACTGTAAAGCGCAGCGATCCACTAAAGACTCGATGCAATTTCATGAAGCGCTGAAAAAGGAAATAATCCGGGATCCAAAAAGTACTGCTTTCATGTCATACGTCAGCACATCTAATGCCATGACCTTGTAATTGAAACACCGCTGGATTCCTAGCGAAATGACTCACCCACTGCGTCACGCCATAAAAGTCAAAGTCCACACAGAAATTTCAATCTAAATCCCTTTAAGAGTATAATAGATGCAGACATGGCCAGACAACAACACTGATGAGCGGAACACGAAAATCGATTTTGAATAACATAAAAATCCTTAAAAATTCCATGAACTCGTTGTTGTCTGGCCATGTCTGCATCTATTATACTCTTTTAAATTGCACTAATAAAATTGCTTTCTCCACGCCGACTCTCTAAATCCACTTGTTTGCCCTTCCTGCTGGGTTGTAGGTCCTGTTTTATAAAGCACATAATGTTTCACTTTTTGTTTGCGGACATACAGTATCATATCGATACACGGTGTTCTAAGTTAGTGCTATAATGTTATTCAAAGGCAGAAGGCCGTGATCACTGGCAAACACTTTTCTTTTATCCTGTTTTCATGCCACTAATTGAACTGCTCTTTTCTCAACTATAAGCATATGTCAGTTTAATATTCATACTAGCCAACCCAGCCAAAGCCATTCCCTTACACACGCACGCACGCACGCACGCACGCACGCAACCACCCACCCACCCACCCACCCACCCACCCACCCACCCACCCACCCACCCACCCACCCACACACACACACACACACACACACACACACACACACACACACACACACACACACACACACACACCTGGTCCTGGTCCTGGTAAACACTGCCATTACGGTCACGTGTCCCCTTACGGGGCCGACAATATAGAACGACGAGCGGGACCATGTTCGAGAGAGCCATCTCCAGCAGCTATGGATCTGGCTTATCATCGGAAACGATTCCTCTCACGGCTGCCGCTAGAACTGGTCCATCACTCTCCACAACAGAGCGAACATTCCATGAGCCAACGCTCAGAGTCGTTCCAAGTCGTCGTCTTCGTGCGGTACACACACACATACACACACACACACACACACACACACACACACACACCTGTCCTGTCCTGTCGACCCACTGCCTTAAAGGTTACGTGGTCCCATTGCGGGAGGAGGGAGAGGAGCAAACACGCCGGTGCCGGGTCAGGTCCCTGGACTGCCGAAATCTCCGAGAGCAGTGCTGACACATTAGTGGAAACTTGGCACGTTCATCCGTTGTTGGGCGGTTCTGGCGAGGTCTACAAGGAGCGGAAGCGGGCTGGCTAGCGATTGAGGCAGGCTGACACCTGTGCACAGCGAGTCCACCCCTGCTACGGTACCATCTCCCACAATCCGCGCATTGACATGCACCACGCTGCTGATGGACTGGCTTGCGACGCTCCGCTGTGCACTTGTGGCGCTTAAGATCACTTGGTCTAGAGCAGACCTTTCCACAGGTGGGGCACTCAACGGGGGCTGCTGCGGCCAGTTCCTTATCCTGGTCTTGGTATCTACATCGCCATTCCACGCGAGATGTGTTAGCGGTCTGGTACCAGTTCACAATTTGGTTTTGTCGAAGATCGACCGACACGCAGTCCTTCCACCGTTTCCTTGGTCCATGGGCAGGTCTGACAGGTGGGAGCTGGCCAAACAGAAGGCACTTCGGCATGCGGGTGTCATCCATGCGCGCCAGGTGACCTAGCCACTCTAGCCGACGATGCCGAAGCTTACAGGTGATGGTCTCCGGATCGCCCCACATACGCAATAGTTCAGCATTGCTGATGTGGGCATCCCACATCTGCTGTCTCGACACACCAAGGATAGAGCGGACGCAACGCATATGGAAGGTGGACAGGCGTTGCAAGTCGCCCTGAAGGGGGACCCAGCACTCAGAACCGTATAGTAGTAAGGACATGACACACGCGTTGAAAACACACCTCTTCAAGAACACAGGAAGCTGACCATTGGCAAATACAGGGCGCTGTAAAGCACCACAGGCCTTGGAGGCACTCGCAATGCGGGCGTTGACGTCCACTGCCGAACGGCTGTTGCTGGCGATAATGGAACCCAGATACCTGAATTCAGCCACATTCTTGATCTCAACATCCGCCAGCGTGAGTGGGACACAGTCTGCATCTTGGATGTTGCTGCCGCACACCATGAATTGGGTCTTGGTAGTGCTGACAGTTAGTCCAAAATCAGCAGCAGTCGCCTGGAATACAGAGAGTGCGAGCTGAGCACCGTCACGTGTAGTCGCTAACAAGGCTAAATTGTCGGCGAACTGACATTCCCCAAACTTGGTCGATATCTTTCGCGTCCTCGGCTTGCCGAACAAATTTCCGTCAATGCAATAGCGAACCTCCATGCCGACACCAGGAACTGCCGACACTCTCCGGGACCAAACAGTGAAAACGGCCCACATGAATAGATTGAAAAGCACGGGGGCCATAGAGCACCCCTGCCTCAAGCCGTTGTTGATGTTGATGGGCTGAGTGTGTCCCTGGGATGTGCGGATTGTGTGAAAGGACTTGATGACAGCGAGGAGGGTGTCCGGTACCCCAGCACAAGCAAGTACACGCCACATACACTCTCTGGGCACTGAATCGTAGGCCTTGCGCAAGTCGATGAAAACCATGTAGCCTTTCGTGTCATGCTCGAGAGATTTCTCCACAAGTTGGCGTACAGAGAAGATCATGTCCGAGCACGAGCGCCCGCGCCTAAAACCACACTGCGAGTCTGGCAGCAGGGTCTCCGCTAGCCGCTGGAGACGTGTCTGTATGATGGCAGCCAGCACCTTCCCCACAACATCCAACAGAGCAATGCCACGCCAATTGTCACACAGTTGCAGGTCGCCTTTTTTGGGGATGGGTACGAGAGTAGCATCAACCCATTCCTGCGGTACCTGTCCGGAGTTCCACACAGCACCAAACAGATCTAGCATCCTGTCCCGTAGAGGAAAACCACCGTACTTAACCAGCTCCGGCAAAATCCTGGATGCGCCAGCAGCCTTGCCAGGCTTCAGCTTATCGATTGCACGTCGCACTTCAGCCGACGTTGGCCAAATCATCAGCAACCGGGCAATGTGGGAGAGAGCCCAGTACCGCAGGGACGAACGTAGATGGGATATTCAACACTGTGTCGAAATGACGACTCCACCGACCATCCTGTTCCTCCTGAGACTCACACAAGTTACCATTTTCATCCTTGATAGCAGACACCCGGGTGCCCACCCGTCCACGACAGCACGCCTGCAAATCTCCTATACACTTCCAAACTGCCGCGCCGTCAAATCGGGACTCCGAGGCCTGCTGTGCCTTGTTCTTGATCCAATCCACCTTCGCTTGACGTACTGCAGAACGGGCAGCAGCGCGGGCAGCCTTGAACTTGGAATAGTGATCGTCACGGAGCC